ACCCTGGTGTATACCAATTCTCCAAAGCAATACCAGGTGTGTCTATCTAGAAGAAGGAAATACAATATAAAATGTAAAGTCACCCAATAGAAAGAAATCATCACTTTTGAGCAGAAGCAGGGTTGTATGGACTCCGTGTTCTATAGGTTCCCCCAGCCAGCAGGTTGGAGTGATTTTATATGTTGTTCATTATGAGTTAATATAGCGACAAGACAGCAATTCGGGAAAAGGCAATCCAAATACAAAACAGACATGAACACTTTATAGATAGGGAACTGTTTCATCCTCTTGTTTCTTCACATGCCACAAGACATCCTTCAGAGGCAAACCGCAGCACTCAATCATCTTCCTCAATCATGAGCAAAAAGAAATGCAAAGTATGCTAAACTGCAGCAACTAATCAAAGTTTCAAATGCTGCAGTAAAAGACGGCTGATAACTGATTGCCTAAAGTGACACCAATCTCAGGAGGTAAAACTTAAAAATGCATTCAAGTACCTTAACTAATAACAAAAATATATATTATTTGTGTATCACTCGGCTGTAGATCCTCAAATCATCTCTGAATTGGTGCTGACACTGTCCCATGGTCCCTGTGTGTGTTGTAAAGTAGTCCAAGATCACTCCTGTGATGAACTACAACATCATGTTTAGTTTATTAATTTGTATTGAGATTGTAGTCCATCCCAGGAGTGAGCTTGGAGCGGTGACTACTTTACAACACACACAGGGGCCATGGGGAACAAAAGTAGCCCCCCTCCAGTAGGAAGGACAGTGTCAGCACCAATTCAGAGATGATTTGAGGATCTACAGGCGAGTGATACACAAATAAGATACATTTTTGTTAATAGGGTGTTTAAATGTATTTTTAAGATTTAACGTCAACGTTTAGTGTCACTTTAATGTTACTATACTTTGTATATCTGTTCCTCTGTACTGCATATTTATATGTTTTATAAAGCACCGCAACTCATGGTAGTGCACTGTGGCACATTGCAACACAAGTGCGATTCTTAGTGCATTGGGGTGCCATTCGAAATTAATGCCACCACCAGGGGCGTAACTAGAAATCACAGGGCCCCATAGCAAGATCTTGTATGGGGCCCTGTGATTTCTAGATAAGTCCACCTGATAACCCAAACAGCCCACCTGAGGGTGACCCTGCAGAGCCCACCATAGACTCTCCATGGTGAGCTCTGCAGGGTCTCAGGTGGGCAGTCAATCCCTCTTACCTGTCTGGCCGATCCTCTGTCCGCCTCCTTCTCCTCCACAATCACTTGCGGGCCCCGCCTCATCCATCACTGGGCCCCACCTCCTCGATCGCCGGGCACGCCTCCTCCATCTCTGCCGTCGACGGGCCCAGCCACCTCCTCTGAAGCTGCTGGTTGTCATCGACTCAGCAGAGGCTGTGAGGAGGTACGTGCTGCTGCACATGTGAATGGCTGCGTGTTTCTCCTCACAGCCGCCAGTGATAGCCAGCAGTCTGAAGTTCCATAGTGACCCAGGCGGCCCGCACGGCATCAGGGGGATGCCCTATCCGGGCCCCCCTGTGCCCCGGGACCCCATAGCGGCCGCCTGGGTCGATATGGTGATTGTCACGCCACTGGCCACCACAACGCATCAGTGCATATTACAGAATTGAAGTGTAACTGGGTCCTTTAGCTGGCCTTACACTGCTCACATTTCAGCCAATTCCTGCTGAATCTCCCACAATTTGAGCTTTTGTTGGCCCTTTTGGCACCACCCAATTTGACAAACATCGATTTTTCAATCAACTTTTGATGTAGGAGCCAGATGGAAAATTGTCAGCCGAACAGTGACTCCAATCAGATTCACTTACTGTTCGGGTATTCAGCAGCCATGGGTCCAGCCAGCGGTTAAATACATCGGTGACTCCTTCATCCACAGGAAAATTGGTCAAATTACTGAACAATGAAATCGTAAGCTGTATGGCCAGTTTTAGATAACTTAAGGAAGTGTTAAAACTTCCATCAGGTTATTTTTTTTGCCTTCAATCTGAGAGATTTCCCTACACTTTCTGTCCTGGAGATGCAACAGGAAATGAGAGGAAATCTGTCCAAAATGGACGGAATTCCCTTCTTAGAGAAGAATGGGTGTTCTCATTGGAAAGGTTTTTACTCAAAACTAATGCAGACACCGAATCTAAGAAATGGTAAGCTGCAATATATTACATTTTTGTTTTTAGATGCACTTGAAAGAAAGGTAAGCATGTGTAGTTGGGGAGGGAGGAATTCAAGGGAACACATTGATTTCCCCTGCATGTGTAATTACAGGTTTCCTTTAAAGGAATGTGCTATTACAGGTATTTACACAGAACTTCACATATTGTACGTTTATATCAGCCCCTGCCCTGAAGGAGCTTACCATCTAATGTCCCTATTTCACATACTAGGGTTAATTAACCTACCAGCGTGTCTTTGGCATGTGGGTGGAGCACCTAGAGAAGGCCCACATAAGTACAGGGAGAACATACCAATTGCATGTAAAGAGTGTCTTGTTTGAGATTTGAACCAATGACATCAATGCTACAAGGCAGAAGCATTAACCACTAAGCCACAGTGCCACCTATATCTGTAAGTCCCTTTGTTTTTTGTAGGGGATACTAGAAAGCACCACTTAATGTGTTTTTTGTCTGACCTCGTTTAATTTGCCGTTGGAACTTCAAAACAGTGACAAGGCTGCTCTTAACCTAGCACATAGCCTCGATATTCAACAATGGCTGCTCCCAGTGGAGGATATTAGCAACCTCTTCCAGGTAAGAAGAAAAATAATGAGGCAAATGCAAAGTTTGCGGCATGAAGGAAATAACTCTGCTAGGAGGATGAGCTTGTTAGAAATGTTATTTTCAAGGAATAAATGAAATCGGTACACTGTTAAATGTACCCCAGACTTTCATTCACGGGTCAGGCAATCTTTTTAGCAAGGGCTAACTCTGAAAATAGACATAGTGGACAACATAAAACTTCACACTTGCTCTAGGCCAGTGATAATAAGGATCAGAATGGCAGCCCCTACGCTTGCACGTTCAAAAAGAAGGCAAACACAGCTCATGTGTTTTTATCCTCATAGGGCCTCTTAAAAGTGTATGTCTGGTCATAATAATAAAAGAACACATTTAGTACATGCATCCCTGCAGTACATGGACATTACCCTATTGCTACACTCTAAACTGTATTACGAAAAGTAATAGCAACTTGCATTAAACTGATTGATGGATAGATTGTAAAAACATTGGGACAGTATCTGGAGCAGTTGCCCATGGCGACCAATCAGCTTCTGTCTTCTGTTTGTTCAATTGAGCTTTGAAAATGAAAGATAGAAGCTGATTGGTAGCCATGCACAGCTGCTCCAGATTTTGATAAATTCCCCTCATTACATTTTGGAAGTTTATAGTAAATCAGAAACAGGAACTGGAAGCTTCCTGTCTTTTGGAAAACCTTTGTCTACTGCATATAGGCCAACAGTTTTATCGGCAAATGTATAATGATTTTTGGTCCGTTTTCTGTAACAAAAAGCTCTTAAATGTTTACAAGTATCTAAACCGATGTTTTATGTTATTTTAATTATTGATAGCAATCTTTACCTTAAAAATAATAATTTATTACAGTGGATGCACAACACTGTGTTTGCAGTGCATACTGGATTTTCTTCAAAGAAAGCCCAGCATTACCTTTATATTTTCCAGCAGACTGCGTTAATCCACTAGTTAGAGGAAAATAGCACACAAAGAGAAGTATTGCCATTGCTGAGATGGAAGCCTGGTCAGGTCATTCTGTGAGGTGTCCACCTGTGTTTAGCTTTAATGTTTCTTTAGCCACTGACTTGGAACAATTATCAGTAACAGAGGAAAGTCAGAATCTGTTAGGAAGTCAAGAAACCAGACAAAAAGTGCAGGTTAAAAATAAAAGGAGTTTATTGAAAATAACAATAAATAAAAATGACAAAAAACAATGAAGTAAGTCTAGGACATCATTGATGCCAGGTCAGAGGTCAAATGCCAAAGCAGGAAGTCAGCCAAACCAGGTCAGGGAACACTGAAGGCAGAATGAATAGGAACAAAAGCTGGAGTCAGGAAGCAGGAGATCAGTAAGCCAGAGCCAGGGTCATACATTGAGAAACAGGAACAACAGCAGTCGACTTGGTAGATCTGACCACACGCAAAGCCAGATACTAAATAGACAAGATGATGGTTAAATAGTAAACTGCTGTTGCATCATCACTCTACGACAGAAATTTGCTAGGAGTTTCCTAGTAGTTGTAGATGATGATGTTTACAGGGCACCAAAGAGGAACGAACAGTGTCAGACACACTGCAGCCAACTGGAGTAGGAAGGGTAAGAAACCCTGAAAGAATCCCTGACCTGAATACTAGCTCTAGATCAGTGACTCAGAAAAATAGAAGCCAAAGGATACGTACAACAGTCTGGTAAGTAGCATTTTCACAAAGAGTTGCAGCCTATGTATTTTCTCAGTACAGGTTTCCTATCAAATATTTCCACCTCTGGTAGCAGAATGCCTCTTCTTTAAAAACTTTGGGTTTGTGTGTAGCGCATTAGATCATATCTGTAGCTGTGTTTGCTATCCAAGATTTGCCTAGAGCTCCACTTAGTTCACTTCTTCCAAGTGTATAGGTGTTGGTAATTATGGAAGTCATTATGACTGAGGCCACCAGGCTCCACCCACTGTATACTTAAAATATACGTATTTAGAGACTAGGCCTTTAGTTATTTCCCATTCTGGGTATCTACAATGTAATAGGACCAACCTGGTCCATAGTTATTTCCCATATTCCCACGTTGTGTAACAGATCCAACCTCGTCAAACCTTTTTCCAGAGAAAGCTACTTTGTCCACTAATAAAAAAATGTAAAATGGATCCCACTTCCCATTGATGTGTGCATTGTTATGCATTCTACTGATTTTTTTAAGGTTCGATTGGAACTTACAACAACATTTATTTCCAGAAGATAAATCTACTGTGATGACCTGGATAAACTGCACCCTACCAACAGAATTCATGCTTGTTGGCCTTTCTGAAATTCCCAGTCTACAAAGCCTACTTTTTGTGATGTTTTTTAGTATTTATATTGTAACTTTACTTGGAAACATATGTATTATTTTTGCTTATCAGTACAGCTCGAACCTCCACACCCCTATGTACTTCTTCCTTGCCAACTTTTCCTTTTTGGACATATGTTACATCTCAACGACTGTACCCAACATGTTGTATAACTTTCTTCATGGGCACAATGCAATATCTTTTTATGGGTGTGTTGTACAGTTATACTTTCTAATGTTACTGGGCAGTACAGAGTGTTATATCCTAGCAGCCATGGCCTATGACCGCTACAATGCAATATGCCGTCCTCTTCGTTACACAATTATTATGAATAAAGTTGCATGTACAAACTATGTGTTTGGGTCATGGGTTATTGGTATAGGGAACTCTGTTATACACACCACACTTACATTCACCTTGCCATTCTGTAGTTCAACCAAAATTAATTACTTTTTTTGTGATATCCCTCCCTTACTTAATTTGGTTGAAGCTGATACCAGCATCAACGAACTTGCTACTTTTATTATCGGTGGCTTTGTCACCATGGGTTCTCTTCTGCTGACGATAATTTCGTATTCGATGATCATCTCAACCATTGTGAAGATCAATTCCAGCTCTGGACGGAAGAAAGCCTTTTCAACCTGTGTGTCTCATTTTACCGTTGTCACTATATTTTACGGTTCTGGAATTTTTATATACTTAAAACCAAAATCAAATTATATCATGGACTACGACCGACTTGTGGCAGTCATGTACACCGTCATTGCACCGCTATTAAACCCTTTTATATACAGTCTGAGGAATAATGATGTTAAGGTGGCGGTTAGGAAGTTAGTCTGCGGGGGAGTAACTGCTCATAAGTACTGAAATCTAACACCTGAGGTGGGAAAAGAAGGCGGTTAGGTGCAAATGATGGCCTTCTATTATCAGTTAAAAGCCAACATATTGTGGGGATAAAAGTATCCCCCTTCTTTATGTGCAGAAGAGTGGTTGACTTGGCAGTGAAAAGTTGCTCAAGAAAAACGTGTAGTACATACCTATATTTCTGTTATTAAAGTTTCCATCTATTGTAACATTTTGTGGCAGCAATCCAGTGCACAGCAACCATATTGAAATTTAAAACCTGTCAGCCATTTTAATATGTTAAAAGTCTTGTCTAACATCATATCACAAGGTGTCTAGTATTGCCTTTACTAGTCAGAGAACCCTCTTCAGTGGGGCATGACCTGGATGCTGACCAAATGCAGCTCTCAATCTCGTATACAGCAGTTGGAGCAACAGAAAAGGACTCATGTAGACTGAACCAAACACTAGTTATCTCTAATGCCTCTAAGAACTGCAAACCACTACCTGCTGGAAGAGAAATATGCTTAAAGGAAAAGCTTCATGGAGGGTGCCATTGCTGACCAATCCTTCTGAAAAACCTAGATGCCTGGCTGCCATTCTGATGCATTGTCTTCGATGCTTTCTATATCATTGAAATAGGAATAAGTAATTCTGACACTTCTGACACACATATTCAGCATACATGCTCTGTATCTCACTTTGCAAAGAACACCCAATAACAAGCAAGGAAAATAAAGTTAAAAAAATGTTATAGGGAATGTGTATAAAGGTTTTAGTGGTTAACCTACAAATTTCTATATTTAACACAATAACAAAAATATAAAGAACAAGTTTGTAAAAATGTACAGTCAAAAATAATTTCAAGATTTACGGGCCATACACATCTTCCCACCCAGCTCTAAGCAACCTGGGAAGATCTGGCTGGTGTCCTGTTCAGCTGGACAGGATGAGGCCTTTACAGGCTGTAAGGTACCAACCACCTCTGTGCAGGTGCCTGGTCCCGTTTTCCAAGTAACTGCGCATGTCAGACGCACAGGAAGTGACGCTTCTCCTGCTAATGGATTGGCCTATATAAAAACACCTGCCATATCCTTAGTTGCTGGATGATTTTCAGCTAGTTCCCGGTGTATCCCTGACCCTGCCTTGCTGACTTGCTTCCTGTGTTTGACCCGGATTGTCTCTGACCACTCTTGATTGCTGCCTGCCTCACGACCTCAGCCTGTTTATTGGACTCCCTTCTGCCTCCTGTTTTGTACTTCGCTGCTTGGCTGGCTTGCCCCCTTGGCTTCCATTGGACCTCGCTTCTGTCTTCTGCTCCGGTACCCTGCTACCCGTCCAGTTTGACCTTGGCTCTGCTTGACCTGCCTAAGTTCCAGGTCCTGGATCTCCTACTCTGCACGGTGTCTACATCATCCTTGGCACTCATGCTGCTTGTTGTCACTCCTCTGTTCCCATCCTCAGGGTTGAGGGACACGAGCTGCAAGGGAAGCCTCCTCAACTATCGGTCTCCACTCAGGTATGTGACACAGGCATAGTGCAAACATTGTGCAGCAGAGCTGCCATGCCACTCTGTCTGCCACCGCCCCCCCACCCCCCCATAGGCTCAAATTATGCCACCTGAGGCAACAGGCTTTCTCATTATAGAGATTGCCCTGCCCATGTTATGGAAAAGAGGGAGAAGAGTTTTGTTGTCCTATCACACTTCCTGTCTGAGGGTGCTCCATAGATACAACCTTAGCAATGTCGCCCATGGATAGGAAGTGTTTACTGGCATGATCACCAGATGTAAACAGAGAAAAAAGTCTGAAAAATAAAAACTAATGCAGTCACCACATCGAAGGGCTGGTAAGCCACACTATAGTACATTTTTGTTCTTGGGTTTAGATAGACTTTAAAAAAAAAAGTTGCAGCAACATAAAAAAAAAGAGGATGAAAAAATATTCTTCAAAAATGTATCATTTGCTTTTCTCTCCAGTGATAATTAATGTAAGCTGTTTCTGGCGCATACAGTAATTAGACCCGAGGGCTTTATGTATCTTGTTTATTGTTATTGTAACAATCTCTGGGGATGTTTTCCCACTGAGCAATACAAAATTATATATTGGTTCCAATGTGGCAGCAATTTGCCTGGGAAATTTAAAATGTGCACTTGTGAATTCTGATTTATCACAACCATATTAATCTAAGTTGGCTCATCAAATTATTTTCTACAGATTTTTGTTAAATCCTAAAAATACATTTAAGTGCCTTAACTATTAACAAAAATTAATCTTATTTGTGTATTACTCGGCTGTAGGTCCTCAAATCATCTCTGAATTGGTGCCGAAACTGTCCTTCCTTCTGGAGGGGGGCTACTTTTGTTCGCCATGGTCCCTGTGTGCGTTGTAAAGTAGCCACCACTCCAAGCTCACTCCTGTGATGGACTACAATCTCACATTTAGTTTACTAATTTGCATTGAGATTGTAGTCCATCACAGGAGTGACTACTTTACAACACACACAGGGACCATTGGAAACAAAAGTAGCCACCCTCCAGAAAGAAGGACAGTGTCACCACCAATTCAGTGATGATTGGAGGATGTACAGCCGAGTGATACACAGATAAGATACATTTTTGTTAATAGTGAATTTATTTTTGAGGTTTAACTCCTGAACATAGTGTCACTTTAGGAAATACAGCCTTGTCCAAACTCCTTCTGCCAGTATGTAAAGAACAGCCACATACTTCTTGTCTAAATGCTTCTGAAAAGCAATAGAGCCCTCATAGATTTAGACCACTATCATTCCAAGTTCCAGGGCTAATTTTTAGGGCATTACAGGACGCTGATACCAAAACAAATTCAGTTACTTATGTTAGTTCTTTGTAAAAATTGCTTTTATAACTTTCAATATTCTCTTTGAATACATTTTGTTTCTTTTTATCTGAATTAGCTTTAATTATTTATTTTAAAGTAATATTACATAATATACTGTATACTATATATACACATATTAATATATATCATAATATTATATATGTTGATCACGTGTCATATGCAAAACATGAAGGTTAGTGCACGGCAAAACTATGGAACTGTGTGAACCCAATATGTTGTAGAAGCCAGCATGCGGGGGTGAAAGGGAACCATATTCAAAACCAATATTTTGGAGACAAGTTTTGTTATATGGGACGTCCGTAAACTTGCTTAGATTTCACGGTGGCATGCTAGCTTCTGCTACATTTTTTTTACAACGTACTTCAAACAGGTCTGCCTTTGTTCATTTCCATTCCATTCCATTACATCGGATGGGTTTAGTAGTTTCACGAAGAATGTTAAGTATGGTTGTGCTTTCTTTGTCATCTCACAGTAAGTGAAAAG